CTTCTTCTGGTTTTAAACGATTTCCAAGAAGCGCTCAAAGAGATCGAAGAAGACAAGAGGAGCGGATGTTGGGCACATTTTCCAAGCTGCCCCTCGAACGTAATGTGCGTGCAGCAGCGGCAGCGGCAGCGACCATTTCATCCTCCATCCTAGTTCTTCTTCCTCCGGCTGTACAATGGCGGTCGAGAGAATAGGACCAGGTAGAAGAAAATTCTGAGATCACTTTAGGAGCCGATATCAAGAAAGTCTAATGTTGCCTACTTTCTGGAGATAAATTCTTTAAAAATCCTTATCTTTTTACCATGAGTATAAAATTTGGTATGTGGAATAAAGTTACCTAGATCTTTTGTATATTAATATACTTTATATGTTGGCATATTAAGTTATTTCTTAAAAGAAATCTATGCTTGTACCCCCAACGATATCGCCTTCTCTAATTTTCCATCAATGCCTGGAGGGCTCAGCTGATGATGATGAGGCCCCTTTCCATTCGTATCTTCGGCTCATCTCGCTGGAGTGCGTGTGTGTGCGGCGATTATTTAATTGATAAAGATTTCCACATTCCAGCGACGCCAGAAAGAAGCCAAACAGTGGGCATGGGGGAACTCGGTCTCGGTCTCGGTTTATCCTGTCGCACAGGATCGGATCGGATCGGATCCCGACCTCATATCGAATCTCCGTTGCACAATGCCATCCACTTCGATATGCTCCGATTCACCCCAACTAGCGACCACGGAACCAGCTGAACCATCTGAAGTATTGAAAAGTACACTTAAAAAAATACTCCATCGCATTTCATGCTTTGATATGTAATTAGTAGTTTTTAATAATATTCATGATTCAATCTTACACCATAACTATTGTACTGAGTTTATATCTTTAAAAAAGATACATTTCTTTTGGAAAACTTTCGGATTTTTTTAAGTGTATGGATGGCAGTTGAACATCCATCGGGAAACATGAAACCCGAAACCTTTCACCGTCATTTGCACTGCGTTCTTGTGGTAAGGTGCTCTCAACACGCACACACTCTTGCTGAACCACACACTTACACATCGTAACACGAATACACTGATAAGGCAAGGAGTGCTCAACCTGCCAACACTTGTGGATTGCTTCGATCTGCGATCACTTATTTCATCCCTTAAGTGCACTCTCGGGGTTTTATACCCATTGTAAGGTTAACCATGAAGAAGGGGATATCAGCGTTAGTGACTAGTTATGACATTGGAATTTGAAATAGAAAGATCTATTAGAAAACCAGGTATTATAAATAACAAAATTAGTTGGAGTTAATATGTCACTACTAAATGAATACATAAACATTATATAGGTGAATTTTTAAATCTGTATAATTATTAGAAATTTGTAGGGTATCTTTGAGACCTATCACTTCGATCCCATATTGCCCCCCATCAGCTTGGTCGTTCTGCTTGGCTGCGCTTCGTTTGGGCGCTAAATTGGAACGATTCTGGACTGCCATAATCCTGACCAGCAAAGCAAACGTCGTCAGAGATCGATATTTGAGCGTTGGATGGTTTTGGTTTTGGTCTTGAGCCGGGGGTTCCTCGATTCGATCAGTTTTCCGTTTTGGCCCTTTGTTCACTCGGCACTCTCTTCCTTAACTTAACTCCGAGCCCAGACACTCGGGCAGGTTTCCCACGGTTTCTTCTTTCTTTTTTCTTTTTTTTTTTTTTTTTGGTGGGTGCACATTTCATATCCTGCAGACGCACAACTGCCGGGGCAAATCCCTAATGCGTGCGATGGCGGCAAAAATCTTACAATTACCCATTGTTGCACGAGGGGAATGTGTAACAATTAGGCCGGGCTTCGAATTCAGGTCGAGGATCATTGCACAGGATCTCTGCGTAATAGCCTTTTCGGCTGAAATCCAAGAGGTACACAATTCAATTGAGTTTAGGAATAAGTGTAACGAAAAGGTTCTCTTCCTTCGGTCTTTATTTGCCTAATCCAGAAAAATTACGGAATGTTATGTGGGTGGTTACGTGGGCGATCCGCTTTAGATCGGCTTCTGCGGGGGTGGAAAAGTTGTGTGTTCGGATACACCCTCCGAAATCTAATAGAACCCCGGGGATAAGATTAATTATTGAAGAAACAATTAGACACACACAAGTTCCCCGAAACAAATTAGACAATTTTAGAAATTTGATTTCAACTGGGAATGGGAACCCCTATTTACTTTAATTAATTACTTAAATCTATCCTTTTTTTATAGTTTTTAAGGGACAAATATTAGTATAACTTGGCATACACCTTATCCAAAAGCCTCCACACCCCATTACACCTTGCCCACCCCCACCCCCTTCCGCCCCACTCCCCCATAAGTTTTGTAATTGGCAAATTACCAACAACAAATAAAAGGGGCGAAAAAGCGAAGAACAAGAAGCAAACTCGCGTCTGGAAATACTTCCGCATCGGGAGGCGACTTTGTCGGGCTGCGACCAGACTTATTTATAGATCTGGGACTATACCATATAGTGCAGGGCATATATCAAATCGCTGGCTGTCTGGCGGGTCTCTCCTCCATATGTATGTATATATATTTGTATATAGTTTTACGTTCTGTATTTATGCGCGGGCATATCTGTGTTTTGGTGTCTGATTCTAGAGCACAAGTGGATGCCACTTGGCTGCCTCCTCTGGACATTGGCATTCTATTTTAATGAATTATCTGCACTTAGGCATCGAACTAAGAGCTAAGAGCTGCGACTACAGCGAGATCACCCGAAGAAATCGGGAAGGCGGGAGGGAAAGGGGATTTTTAAGGAGTGGGAGGTGACGTCGCACCAGAAGTAAACTGGTAAACTGGTTGCATTGCAATGGCAAAATACAGACGTACGAATGCTGATTGGCTCAATTGGACGACTATTTGAACTCTGACCCCCGTCCGATCTCCCTCCCCCTCCGCCCCCGCCATATTTATCCCCTCGCCCACCTCCTTTCACCCGGCATTTCCCGCTGGGCGACGCACCATGACCGAAGCTACTAATTTGGGCCAGTGATCGTCGTTGCCGCGATCACTTGGAAACGTCGTCGTCGTCATCATCGCAGCTATCGACGGAAAAGACACCAGCCAAAGCACTTAAAAAAAATTATCTGTCGTCAAAAAGCGCACCATTCATTTTAAATCTGAAATTGTTCAGATCATAACTATTGCATCTAAAGTCCGATTCGAAAAAGTTTTGATTCTGATGTAAAATTAAAACATTCCGATTAATTCTTTTAACATTTTTTATTTTTTTTTTTTTTTGGGTCTTGAATTTTCTCCAAGTGAATGGCCACGGAACTGAGGGATGGGCGCAGAGGGCGTGGGCGGGGTCGTCCGGCTGGTCGCCGTTTATGGGCATTTGACTTGAAATGTCAACGTTAACGCTGCCCGGGGAGAAACTGGTTAACCAACTGAGGCGACTCGAGACCCCAAAGCGGATGCAGTGCAACTGAGCGCATCTTTAGACCCACCGACCAAGCGACCAACCTGACGAGGAGCCCATCCACTTTGGACCCCGACCCCTGGCCCCCGTTTTCCAAAGAGATTTCCAGTCGCAGCCGAGCGGAAACGTTCCAACAATTTATAATTAAAGATTGCCAACTGGTTTCCATGAAGATTCAAGATTTATGGGATCGAAAACACATATCAACTAGCACCTCGAATCATTTTGTATTACAATAGAGGCCTTTTTCTCAGGCGCGTGGCGCCTTATTTGTTTCGGTCATTATTTAATTATTTTAAATATTTAATTATTTTAAATAGTCGGTGAAATTATCTCACACTGATTACAGTTCCAGGTATTTCCTTATCTATGTTTACACATAGTATATAGGCAAAGCTCGTAAGTTTCCGATAATCATAATCGACTGGCTACTAAAACGTGTTTGTATAGGAAGCACCTTTAGCACAATTTTAAACCCCTTCATGTTAAGTGGGAAAATTTTAGGGAGCGCCGCCCATGGCTCTGCTATCAGCATGATGTTGAAACTTTTGTTTAAACTTTATCTTCTATTGATTAACAACTAAATCGAGCGCCCCACGCGAACTTTATGCCGCCCACAGTCTTCAATTTCCTATTGAGTTGTTTCCCAGTAGTTTTTGTGGGTATTAAATATTTAAATTATTACCTGTAGAGCTTGTTGTTTCTTTTGTTCCTAAGGAAGTGGATAGAAATCTGTTAATATTTACGCACCTAATGATTTGTTTGTAGTCTGTGCATAAAGTATAATAACATAATCGAGATTATTATGATAATTGTGGAAGCTAGGGAATTTCCAAATGTTGGGAAAATTAAAAGATTTCTTATAAGCGATTACCGTCTAACAATTTAAGAATTTAATAGCTCAGCTTGGACTAATGAATCTATATAATTCAAGTATATTAAACTATAAATTGAAATAATAATTTACGATTTCTAATGAACCAAATTATTTTATTTAAGATAACCTGACAAGGTTAATTAAGTATCAACATAAATTTCTTTTTACAACATATCTAATTTGACAAGTAAAATGCATTGGAAAATAAACGCTCTCTCACTCTCTTATGTCTTGCCCCAATCACCGCATACGGGTTAAACAACACACTCTATTGCTGTTTCATTTGCAAGACACCCTTTCACTCGCACTCACTGTACAAATTGTAAACGGACTAACGGACTTGGGTGCAAAATCGTTCGGGTCCCTTAACGATCGGGTGTCTCTCTCGGCTTTCTCGGGTTCTCTAAGAGAACTTAACGATTGGGAAAACGATGTCCTTTGTTACCCGTTTGTGAAAACGTTGTCCTCTGTGTACCCATTTAGGAAATCGTTGCCTGATGTAAAGTTTCTGTTAACCAGGTTGAAAAAGCGTCTCTCGCGGACGAAAATTAACGTTCGGGTGATGCTCTCGGGACTGACGACCCGATGAGACTATACCCCATACTCGTTAACAGCGAAGAGACTACCTGATTCGTCTACGGCTTCGACAAACAACACAAGTGCGGCAAAAACGTTCAAAACGTTAAAATTTGTCGAGGCAGTCGGACGTGCTCAAGTGTCGCTGCTGAAAGAAAATTCTGCTGTAAATGCCAAACTAATATGATTTAAATTGATTAATTCACAATTAATAGAATTTAATTCGTGCGGCGTAGTCGAATAACGGTTGTTTCCGCAGCCAACTTAACTCGGTGTATTTACCCAAGTGCGAAAGTGTGTGTGCGAAACGGAATCAAGAAATAAACAAGAGCGACGGCAGCAACAACACGGCAAAACGCAACAAGAAGTGTAAGCAAAAGTGAAGAGGAAGACGAAAGAGGAAATGCTTAAGTACAACAACAAGAACGGCAAATAAACGAACAAAACGCTAGAGTGCAAGTGCATCGCGTGAGTGTCTTACAGTGTGCGTGTGCGTTTGTGTACATGCTTTGGCGTGTCTGTGTTGGTTAGGCGGCGGAAGTAGAAACGTTTGACTTGTTCTTCTGCTTCGCCTTTTTGTTTGCTCCGCTTTGCGGCTGACATTCGTCGCAGGGAAACGAAACGAAAACAAAAACAGAGAGCCAGGATTAGCCCCAAAAGCACACAAGACCGCCGCCCACTCACTTCCCCCCTCGAAAAACAGAAACAACAACAATGGCAACTTGGCGCGACGCCCTCTTCGTCATCAGCAGATAACAACAAGAAAAACATCGAATTAACAACAACAAAGCAACGAAGCAAAAGCTAAAGCGTTCTGGGATCTGGACAATATCCGCTTCCGCGTTGCTTCTGTCGCTAAAAAGCTCAAGAATCGAAGCCCAACGAGAACAGACAAATTCACTCACTCGCCTTGCAGTACGTCACCACAGTGCACAGTGGAGCAAACAGGCAAGAAAGCATGAATTTATTATACAGCCATTTGGAAAAACCTTTACTTTTAAACTAATTTTTTTTGTATATGGGATACAATTTAACTCCTAAAGTTAGAGTTTTTAAATTTGAAAAGAGTTTGCTATTTTATCGTATTCGTATCGCCATCAACTCATTGTAATTTCTTTATGTTGAACAAGACCCAAACCTTTCAAGATTCGTCTTGTGTTTTCTTCTTTTATCAGACCAATGTCATCTTTGTTTTATTACAAGCTTGTTAATAATTTTCTTAATTTTTTGGTATCAGCTTATCCCATAACTACGTCACAATGGTCATGGGAACAAAAAAGAGTCTTGTCTGAGCAGCTGATAAATAATTGCTCCACCTTAATCTGGTGTTGGATATCTCTTAAATATGACTTCCCCACTTCGGTCCACCCATCGTCTTACAATGTTTGAGTTTTTGGTCTCTGGTTGAGGTCAACAAATTGTCTGATCTACACGCGTAAACAGATAACTTTAGGCTATATCTGGAGCGTACTATATACGAGTTGGAAGACACGGCAACAATGTTTACCTTAGGTTTTATTTGATTTATTTGCATGTTATTTTAGAGGATCTGATTGTGGCATTTTTATTAGGGCTTGTTTAAATATGAAGAGTTACATTTTTATAATGAGCTTGGGAGTGGTTTTCATACTTTTATTAATATATAATTATCTGATTGATGTGCGAATGGTTTTGTTTTTCTAGGAATTTTATTAACCTGATAGACATGACCGTATTCTTTGTTTTAGTTGCCTACAATTGATCAATTTTAAGTCAGTTAGTCGATCTTATAAGAACCTTTTGGTTGAGAAGCATATGCAAATAGTATAGGAATATAATAATACCATTTGGAGTTGTATTGTGTGCATTGCACGCTCTACTGATTCCTCAGCATTCTACGATATGAACGAGATCGATTCACTTGAAAAATTGCTTTTCCTATTCACATTCCGTTCCATATTACGGTACCTAGGGTGCTTTTGTAATGCCTGTTGCATCACACTGGCTAGTCCCGAGTTTTCCGCTTCGAAAATAAAGAAAACGGTTATTATCGAGAGCCCAGTGCATGTCTTGAGCTGGATATCGGTATGCTTTATGCTGTGCTATAGAACCGGGCTTTCGGAATGGTTCTGTTCGGTTCACGAGTCTCTTGTTGCATGTACTTTTCTATGGAAGTGAAGTGAAACAAAAGCAGAGCGTTGAGCTCCAATTAGGGTGACTCCGGCGACTCGTCAGCGAAATCTTATCGCCGAGGCGCTATGGCAAAAAGAAAAACTCGCACTCACGCCGTCATATAAACGTACATATACATATACATACATACATATAACAAAAAAAGTTAAACAGCCAGCAGAATTGTGTTTATTTATTTGCCTTTGCCGACCGACGACGTCGAACAAATCAGCCAAACAGTTCCTGCTTCTGCCGCAGCAAAAAGGTACACATATACATACACTCATACATATACGTTCGTACGTATAGATGGGTTTTCAGGGGGCGTGGTGGGGGGTGCGAACTAGGCACACACCTGATCGTGCGCCACCTCCGTTATTTTATTTTTTTTTTTGATGAGAGTAGAATTCTAGCCAATAAATTTTATTATGTACAAAACAATCATACAAACAATAAGGAACAGGAAAGTATTTTTTAGATACAAGATTACTTACAAGATTTTATTTTGTATGTTAAGTTTAGTTCGCATAAAAAGATTGAAATTAATTAAATATAAAAAAGCGGCTATTATTACGTAATGTCCCCTCTGATTCTGTTTATTACCTATTTACCTGTACATGACTGTAAGTACGGATGTATTCAGATTGGTTTCTCAAAAAATAAACAGTTTCTCTCTTCAATTAGCGGGAAACGAACTAAAACTTGTAGAAGCTGCGATTTGCTTTGCTGTTTTTCCTTTCCTGGTTCTCTCTTTCTCCGCCCCCTTACCACCCCTCGGGAGACTTGGCCTGGTGACCAGCCGGCGGCAGAAAAGCAGCGTAAATACAATAAATTAAATTCACTTCCGCATTGCTCCCAACAAAAAAAACAACGTAATGGGGAATGGGTGAATGTGAGTGTGTGTGTTTGTGTGGGGAAAGACAAACGACGTAAGCAAGAGCACGGCAAGTGCACGGAAACGAGAGAGCGGGTCAAAAACGTAAGAGAGAGAGGGAGGGTGGCGTCGATCCCAAGAAAAGAGGAAGGGTGAGGAGCAGAGGAAACAGGTATAAAAACTGTTGATCACCGCGTGGGGGAAAGAGGGAGATGGAACAAGAAAACATCGACCTATTCCCTCGCACACACACTCACCCAGCAACTGACTCACTCACACTCACACGTGCGAATCCCAGCCAAGACACAAATATAAAAACAACAACATAAGCGGCGGCAAAATAATGAAAGAAAGAGGAAGAAAACGCCAAGCAGCAGCTACAGCAGCAAAAACAACAATAAAAACCGCCTTAAAGCGGCTGAGATATTAACACAAAATGCCGAGCAAGCAAAATTTGCATGAGTATGCGTGCATGTCGCTCTCTTATTTTCTCAGTTTATGAAAAAAAATTAAGGCACAAGCAAAAAAGACATGACAACTTCTTTAGAAGGATCAACTAAATATGTACATACATACATATTTATTTACATACATATGTACATTCATATGTACTTAATGGATAATATCTGTTTAACTTCAAAAGAATGTTTAATTTAATGCTTGTTTTTATCATAGATGTTCAGTATATCACGTTTTTTGATTTTTTTTTGTTTGAAAACAAACAATTTGTAGAGATATGGTAACCGCAAAGCCCCAATTTATCAATCAGGGTCACTTAAGGGTTAAGGCCTCAAGAATGTCGCAAACACTTGCACACTGATAAAGCATTGTATTTGTTGTGCTCTTATTTTGTTTTTTTTTTCTTTTGGTTTCGTTGTTGGGGCCAATGCTTCTACAGATTTTCTTCTTCTTTGCCATTTCGCTTCCTTTTCTTCTATTTTGCTTGTTTTTGTTGTTGAAACTTGCATGCGGAAGCTTGCATTCATCACAAATGCCGCACAGTTACATATAGAAATGCATTAAAACATCAATACACACATACATGTATGTGTATGGACGTACATATGTATGTATATTTTTGCTATCACCCAACAGATGTTGCTATTGTTGTTGGTTGCTGTTTTTGTACATTTGCATTTATAAAGCAGCGAACGAACCACTTGTGCGTACTATACATCCCATTGTAACCCATTTTATAGTGCAACGAAATCACACTAACCTGAATTTGCCATAAATGCTGCCAGCTTCCATTACGTCGCGTCTCAAATTCGCCAAAAGAAATAAAGAAAGTAGTGCAAAAGGCAGGCGAGAAAAGCAACAACACTCCAATCAACGATCGTGCGAATTTGCCATTAAAAGCGGTAAAATACTCACCCCACTTCTCTCTTCTTCATCTGTATCTTTTTAGCTGGTAACAGTGGGTGAGTTTGGTTTTTATTTTGCGAACTTTCATCAAGGATGTGTTTGATGCAGAGTGGAATATCTAAAGACTAACTTATTTATTATTGTTTGAATGAGATCATGCTTTAAAAAAGACTAGTTTTCCGGAAGTGTATCTAAATGCAATTTCAGATATTACCGCGAAATTTAAATGACATATTGTGGTTAAATGACAGAAAAAAAACTGTAAAACAAACTAAATGTTAGATTGTTTTTGTATGTTTACCCTTTACTTTAAATTAATATCTACATACTTTTGCACTTGCATCTTATAAAACGATCTCCACCCAACTGGCGACCCATTCATCTTGCACTTCTGACAATTTCCCGCAATCTTTTCTCACGATCATCATTTCCCCATGTTTCCCAATTTCTGCCCGCACCGAAAACCCACTAAAACATACTACACTAATACTCGTATTACTCCACTAGTGTAATTTTTATTGTAGCCAGCGCATGCTTGCTATCGCTGTCTCTATCGCAGCGAATAGCCCCGTCTCTTTCGGCTGTCTGGGTAACCTGTTGTGTGAATTATGTTACGAACGTAACGTGTTTCAAAATATAGGAAGTCTTGCTTGAGTTATAATACTCCGCTCAACTCGGCTTTGGTGCTTTAACGGTGACTTGCTATTATCTAACTACAAAGAGTAGGAGAGGGAGAAAGAAGCGAACGAAGCGAAGCAACAAACAGAAAAAGCCAACACACAAGCAACTCGAAAATATTCGCCGCATTTTGCAGTTTGTGGCACATTTTCCTTTTGGCACACATACGGAAAAGTGGAGAGGGGTTTAAATAAAAAAATGGGGGTAGTAGAGGAGGGGTGGCAGGGTGGGTGGCAAAAGGGGAAAGGGGGCAAAAGTACATCAAGCAAGAAGTGGAGTAATGTTGTGGAAAGTCGCTTTTGAGTCGTCGTCTGTCGATGCAACACAATTAGGTAATCTTCCTTCTTTCTTCTTATTGAACTCCCATGGGAGGAGCAGAGGGGGTGGCTCGGGCTTCGGGGGGCCAAAGGGGGGCATTGCGTGGCGGATAACGTAACAGTTTTGGGTGCACCTAGCTAAAGCTGATGGCGTAACGTCGAAAAGGAAGTATCCGTAACGCTTGTCTATCGAGAGAGATAAAACCAGAGACGGGGAAACCAGGAAAATATGCAAGCTGAGAGAAAGGGAAGGTTCGGGGGGAATAGGAGTTACACACCCAAGTTTATAGCCCACTAGACAACACCCCCTGCCTGGTAACAAGAGATACTTAAAGGTACCCTAAATACGTCACAGTAACCGACGATTGTCCACTACTGGCTTTATCTTTATACAAATGGTAACTGTAACTGTTCGGAGCTGATAATTTGAGTACGACCAAAAGAGCACTAACGATATTCTTCGAAAAGTATAAATCAAATGAAAAACCAAAACGAATTTCTTCGAAAAGTATAAATCAAATGAAAAATCAATATGATCTGAAAAACAATGTGATCTTAAACAC